CTCTTCTTCCAGTTCATTGTCAAATCTTTAGGGGAAAGAGAAAGGAGAGAAACATTGCTCCTTCCTCACTCTGCAGTCCAAGCTTCTACCCCAATAGGTAAGCAAATTTTCACTTGTCATCCTCTTTTTGTGTCCTTCTCAGATCCCAGGTTCCCTAGTTAGGCCTGGGGATATAATCTCCCAGTTTATTTCTCTGCTTCTTCCTGACTCCTTGGTGACTATCCCTAGAGAGCTGAGCCCCAGCATAACGAGGCTTCCAGGGCAAGGAACCAGAAGAGAGCAAGAGGTGAATCAGTTAATATTCATGCAGCAACATTTTTGTGGAAGAACCTGTGCTCTTCCCCATTTATTTGTCTTCATATCTTGGTCCTTTCCTACTCTTCATGCTAAGATCTGGGGGAAGCAAAAGATTCATGGATTTCTCCTCTGAGGATTCTGAGCCCTCCTTCATAAAACTTAAAATCTGTATTTTCATTTTGATGAAGTTCAAATTTTATTTAAAAAATAGAGATATTTTCATTTTGGATAATTTGGATTTTTTAGGAGTTTATGTGCTTCTGTTTGTATTTTTTTCTAATTTTTTAAAAAATTATTTATTTACTCATGATAGACGGAGAGAGAGAGGCAGAGACACAGGAGGAGGGAGAAGCAGGCTCCATGCTGGGAGCCCGACGTGAGACTTGATCTTGGGACTCCAGGATCGTGCCCTGGGCCAAAGGCAGGCGCTAAACCGCTGAGCCACCCAGGGATCCCTTTATTTATTTATTTATTTATTTATTTATTTATTTATTTATTTATTTATTCATTCATTCATTCATTCATGATAGACATAGAGAGAGAGAGAGAGAGAGGCAGAGACACAGGAGGAGGGAGAAGCAGGTTCCATGCCGGGAGCCTGATGTGTATTTTTATAGTCACAGTGGTGACAAGGGATCACCTGAAGAAACAAAGTCAACCACTTAATTGAATAGTTTTCTATGGGGTCTATATAGAATTGAGATTCAGTTCTGATTCATTCTTTGGCAGCAAAAATGTCTCCTAATCCTTCATCCACTCTCATAGCATCTCACCCTTCTTCATGCCACTGTAATTAGTATTCCCTTGGCCAGACTAGAAGTTCCATGAAAGCAGAGACTGTGTCAGTCTCATTCATTTATGTATCCCCATTTCCTAGCATGCTGCCTGGAACATAGCAGGTGCTCATAAGTACTTGTTGAATGAATGAATGAAGGAGATGACACAAAAGAAATAGAGACAAGGCCTCTGCCTTGTAGAGTCCGTCAGAACTGAAATCGACACACAAAATAAGAGAACATTACAAAACAATACATTTGTAGGACACTACAGTTTCTTTTAAATGAGAGAAGTTGATCTTTGAAGGGTCACCAGAGTGGCCCTCTCAGTTAAGGCACACAATACAAATCAGCCAACTTTGTCCAGGGATTACGGTGTAATCAAACTTTTCGTGACTCATTCTAGATGTCCTGCCTTTTCCAAAAATCCTTTAAATTAGAAAGAGAAAAAGGGAGGGAGAAAAGGTGGATTAATTTTCAACAGGAGCCCAGGGAATACAAAAATCAGAATATTTAGCCATAGGGGAAGAGGTGGCAGTGGACTAAGGTTATTCTGACACAGAACCCAGAAATAAAACTTGAGAAGTCTAGGTTAGTGACTTGAGTCTCAATACAAAACAGAGAGAGAAGTGTTTTGACACAATTCTGTGCCTACTGATGAAACTATCTCTCCTTCTGGCTGTCCTGGGATGGTCCTTATAGTCAGAGGCACAATGGCAGGTTATTAGAGAGCAGACTGAGGAAGGAGCCAAAATGAGGTACTGAGAACTGAATTCTCCTTCCCTGAAGAGCTGTGGTGGCCCTGCCCATGCTCAGAGCTGGTCAAGCAAGGTTGAATAATAAAAGGGACCTACATCTTTTATTAGGAGGAGCAGGACCAGTTTTCCACTGACACACCCAATGGAACAGGTTTAACCAGTTATAGAGGCAAAATATAGTACAAACTGAAGGGGCACAGGTATTCTAGAATCATACTATTCAAAGCGTGGTTCATGGATCGGCAGCATCACCACCCAAGAGCTTGTTAGAAATACAGAATCAGCAAAAATGAATGATTGGGGCTTCATCAAAATAAAAAGCTCTTGCACAGCAAAGGAAACAGTTGACAAAACTAAGACAACAGAATGGGAGAAGATATTTGCAAATGTCTTATCACATAAAGGGCTAGTGTCCAAGATCTATAAAAAACATATCAAACTCAACACACATAGAACAAATAATCCAGTCAAGAAATGGGCAGAAGAGGGATGCCTGGGTGTCTCAGTGGTTGAGCATCTGCCTTTGGCCCAGGGCCTGATCCTGGGGTCCCGGAATCGAGTCCACATTGGGCTCCCTGCATGGAGCCTGCTTCTCCCTCTGCCTGTGTCTCTGCCTCTCTCTCTGTGTCTCTCATGAATAAATAAATAAGTAAAGTCTTAAAAAAAAAAAAGAAATGGGCAGAAGACACGAACAGACATTTCTTCAAAGAAGACATACAGATGCCCAACAGACCCATGGAAAAATGCTCAGCATCACTCAGCATCAGGGAAATACAACTCAAAACCAAAGTGAGATACCACCTCACACCAGTCAGAATGGCTACAATTAATAAGCCAGGAAATGACAGATGTTGGCAAAGATGCAGAGAAAGGGGAACCTTCTCACACTGTTGGTGGGAATGCAAGCTGATGCAGCCACTCTGGAAGACAGTGTGGAAGTTCCTCAAAAAGTTAAAAATACAGCTACCCTATGACCCAGCAATTGCACTACGGATATTTATTCAAAGGGCACAAACATAGTGAATCAAAGGGACACATGCATCCCAATGTTTAGAGCATCAATGTCCACAATAGAAAATATAGAAAAAACCTAGGTGTCCACTGACAGATGAATAGATAAAGAAGAGGTGGTATACACACACACACACACACACACACACACACACGATGGAATATTATTCAGCATCAGAAAGAGTGAAATCTTGCCATTTGCAACTATGTGGATGGAACTACAGGGTATTATGCTAAATGAAATAGTTCAGCCAGAGAAAGACATACATGATTTCACTCATGTAGAACTTAAGAAACAAAACAGAAGAACATAGAGGAAAGGAAGGAAAAATAATATGAAAACAAAGGAGGTGGGCAGCCCCGGTGGCTCAGAGGTTTAGCACCGCCTTCAGCGGGGGGTGTGATCCTGGAGACCCGGGATCAGGCCTACATCAAGCTCCCAGCATGGAGCCTGCTTCTCCCTCTGCCTGTGTCTCTGCCTCTCTCTCTGTCTCTCATGAATAAATAAATAAAATCTTAAAAAAAAAAAAAAGAAAGAAAGAAAACAAAGGAGGCAAACCATAAGAGATTCTTAACTGAGTATTGCTGGAGGGGAGGTAGGTGGGGGATGGGGTAACTTGGTGATGGGCTTAAGGAGGGCACATGATGTCATGAGCACTGGGTGTTATATGCAACTGATGAATCAATCAATTCTACCCTTGAACAATAATACTAATGTAACTGTTAACTAAATTGAATTTAAATATTTTTTTTAATTGTTGGGTTTTTTCTTTAGATTTTATTTACTTATTTATGAGAGACACACAGAGAGAGGCAGAGACTTAGGCAGAGAGGGAAGCAGGCTCCCTTTGGGGAGCCAGATGCAGAACTTGATCCCAGGACCTGGGATCAGGCCCTGAGCCAAAGGCAGATGCTCAACCACTGAGCCACCCAGGAGTCCCCCACCCACCCACCCCCTCAAAAATTGTTTTGAGTTAAAGAGCATCTCTTGAAAAGTAGTTCAAAACAGGGTGAAAAATGGGGCAGAGAAAACTCAAAGCGAAGAGGAGCTAAGGAAATATGGTTAAAGGGCATGTGGTATCCTCGGTAAGATCCTGGGACAGAAAAAAGTCACTGGGCAAAAAGTAAGAAATCTGAATAAAGCAGACTTTAGTTTACGAAAGAAAGAAGAAAAGAAAAAAGAAAGGGGCGCCTGGGTGGCTCAGACCATTAAGCAAGCATCTGCCTTTGGCTCGGGCCATCTCAGGGTCCTGGGATGGAGCCCTAAGACCGGCTCCCTGCTCAAAGGGGAGCCTGCTTCTCTCCCTCCTTCCGCCCCTCCTCCTGCTTGTGCTCTTTCTCTCTCAAATAAATACAATCTTTTTAAAAAAGAAAAAAAGAGGGGCGCCTGGGTGGCTCAGTGGTTGGGGTCTGGTTTCTGCTCAGGGCGTGATCTGGGTCCCGGGTTCCCTGCGAGGAGCCTGCTTCTCCTTCTGCCTGTATGTCTGCCTCTGTGTGTGTGTGTGTGTGTGTGTGTGTGTGTCATGAATAAATAAAATCTTGAAAAAGAAAAGAAAGAAAAGAAAAGGAGAAATGAAATGCAGAATCCTGCATCACCCCACCTTTCCTAAATCAAGTCCTGAGATTTAACAGGTTCCCCCGGTGATATGCATGCACAAGAAGATCTGAAAGGCACTAATATTTCCGAGGAAAAAGACTTGAAAGGCAATGAATGAGTACGAGGGAAGAGAAGCTTCAGGTGACCCCACAAAGGAAGATAGGCAGTTGGAGGAAAGAAGCTTGAGGATTTCTCTGGCAGCACCTTGCGCTGAACGGGTGAAGGAGCGGGCTGCGCGGCTCTGGCTCGGAGCTCGAACACCGGGAGGAAGGAGAACAGCACAGGTGGGCCTGAGGCCTCAGACAAAAGGGCCGCTACCGCTCTCCTTCGCCTCCAGCTGCGCGTTCCCTCACTCCCCCTAGGGACCCCAGTTGCCCAGTCTTCAGGCTTCCAGTCTCAATAATCGGGCCAGTCGGACCTAGCCAAGCTCGGTTTGATTCGGCCAAGATCGGTTGCTAAGGCCTGGAGCTTCCGGTTGCGGGGGAAATGACGTCACGTCCAAAAGGCGGGCCCACCAGGCCTCTCAGTCCTCCGGATTGGCTGCCGGGAATAGGATTCGACTCGCAGCCTGGCGGGCTCCAGCGCTAGCTGTCCTTGTCCCCAGGTGCTCCTGGCCCTCGACCGTCCTCTCCGCCTGGAGCAAGACTCCCATGATAGTACTCAAAGCACTTGGCTCCGAAAGAAGACGTGATTCAGATGGTCTGGCTCTTGCTACCAGGCCAGGCGTTCCGGCCGCCCAGGTAGTTTTTGGCTCTGCCGGGTGTCCGTAGCTGGGCGGTGACCCGAACCGCAGGGGTCTGTGGAATGTATAGTTCTGGAGGAGGTCTACAGTAGCTCTTCGGAGGACTGGACGCTCCAGCCGGACAGAGATCTTTGGAGGAAAACAAAAACAAAAACAAAAACGACCTTGAGGACTCGGGGTCCTGGGTCCCCGAAGGACGGGAGACGACGAAAAGGGAATTGAAATAATCCTGCCATTAGCATTTTTGGGTTTTCTTTTCAGGTGCTGACCTGAAATTGATCCATCCCACCCCGACCAACACCGTTCACTCACTGGTGGAAGGAACCGGTCAACCAAATGGAGACGCCACCGGCCAGTCTAATAGACAAGGACACCTCTCAACCGCAACAACGACGGGAAGAGAACCCCCAGGAAAACCTTAAGTCAACCACCGAGATTAGGCAGCAGCCCCAAGACTGTTCTACTGAAATCCTCGAGCTGAGAGTGAGCTCAGCTCTGGCCAGCCGAGTTCTAGAGAAACCTCAAGAGACTGAAAAACTGGCTGCTGGACTTCAAGGAGACTCAGTGAAGTCTCCTGGATCAACCAGTGAGATGCCAGAGCCCCTTCCAGCTTCTGATCTCTGGTACTGTCCCGACGGAAGCTTTGTTAAGAAGATCATAATCCGCGGCCATGGCTTGGACAAACCCAAGCTAGGCTCCTGCTGCCGGGTACTGGCTTTTGGGTTTCCTTTTGGGTCAGGCCTGCCAGAGGGCTGGACAGAGATAACTATGGGGTTAGGACCGTGGAGGGAAGGGACTTGGGGGGAGCTCATAGAGAAATGCTTGGAGTCCATGTGTCAAGGTGAGGAGGCACAGCTTCAGATCTCCGAGCACCCTGAATCTCCATTCAGGCTCACCCTGGCCTCCTTCACTCAGGGCAGGGACTCCTGGGAGCTGGAGGCCAGTGAAAAGGAAGCCCTGGCCAAGAAAGAACGCACGAGGGGCACAGAATTATTTAGAGCTGGGAACCCTGAAGGGGCTGCCAGATGCTATGGACGGGCTCTTCGGCTGCTGCTGACTTTACCCCCACCTGGCCCTCCAGAACGAACTGTTCTACACGCCAACCTGGCTGCCTGTCAGTTGCTACTAGGGCAGCCCCAGCTGGCTGCCCAGAGCTGTGACCGAGTGCTGGAGCGGGAGCCTGACCACTTAAAGGCCTTGTACCGAAGAGGGGTTGCCCAGGCTGCCCTTGGGAACCTTGACAAAGCAACTGCTGACCTCAGGAAGGTGTTGGCGGTAGACCCAAAAAACCGCGCAGCCCAGGAGGAGCTGGGGAAAGTGATCATTCAGGGGAAGAAACAAGATGCAGGGCTGGCGCAGGGTCTGCGCAAGATGTTTGGCTGATTAAAAGTTAAAGCTTAAAAGTGACAGGCACCTGTGAATTGTGGTTTATGCTGTGAGATTTTGAGGAGACCCAGAGGGAGGGTTTCAGCTCGTGGCCCATTCCCAACGTTTGCCTTCCTGGAGAGGTAGCAGTGGTCTCAGGGCGCCTCTTTCCCTCTTTTACCATTAAGAGCCTTATTTATTTATTTATTTATTTTTTTAAAGATTTATTTATTTATTCATTCAGAGAGAGCGAAGAGAGGCAGAGACACAGGCAGAGGGAGAAGCAGGCTCCATGCAGGAAGCCCGATGTGGGACTCGATCCAGGGTCCCCAGGATCACACCCCGGGCTGCAGGCGGCGCTAAACCGCTGCGCCACCGGGGCTGCCCTAAGAGCCATATTTAAAAAGTGGGGGGAGTCATATGAGTACGTGTACCACATTTTGGGGTGTTTATCCATATCTTCTCCAGGACCGGGGGAGGTGGCAGGCCTTTAAGCCCTGGGAACTACATCTTCCGGGCACTCTCGCGGTGGCTCCCGCTTGGCGCATGCGCAGGCCGTGTGGTCCCCTGGGCGAGGGAGCGACGTCCTCCCGCCGCGCTCCCATTGGCCCGGCCTGGCCAGCCACCTCCTGTACTCAGCACCCTCCTCTCTTACTGGTCGGTAGAGCTTCCGGGACATCGCCTTTTTTTTTTTTTTTTTTTTTTTTTAAGAGTCAACTGATTAGTGGATGATGGGGAGAGGCGGGCCTTGGGAACCGTCTCATGGTTGGGGGGCGGGAGGGAAAGATGGCGGAACTGATGCTCCTCAGCGAGATCGCGGACCCAACACGTTTTTTCACGGACAACTTGCTGAGCCCAGAGGACTGGGGTCTGCGGAGTGAGGCCTCGGGGAGGGAGGGGGGTTGTGTCATGCTGTGTTCCTGAGGCACGCAGGGAGGAAGCGGAGGTCTACGGAAGAGGGCCGGGCGAACACAGACTCCATCACCCGCAGGAGGGCGGAGCGGGGGGCCCGTCGTGCTCCGGGGGGGTGCGGGAGTTGGGGACGACCTCTGTTCCCTGCAGAAAAGTCGAGGTGTTCGGGGTGGGGGACGGAGGGACGAGTTCCTTGGCGGCATCAGGTTTCAAGTGGGCGGGCGGTAGGTCTGGCTGAGCCGAGCCAATGAGGGACTAGCCCGGGGCTGTGCGGCGCTGCAGCCTGGGCCACGGGGCGACCCTTGACGCTCTGTCTCTCGCAGACAGCACCTTGTACACCGGCCTGGATGATGTGGCGGAGGAGCAGACGCAGCTCTTCCGTTGCCCAGAGCAGGATGTCCCGGTATCGCGCCCCCATCCTTGTCTTTCTAACCTTTGGCGGGTGGGATTGCCCCCGAACCAGGACTCAGCCCCAGGCCGGAGCTCTTGGAGCCATTGCCTTCACATTCCTGCCGTTTAATGCTCCCCTTTATTCAGTTTGGCAGCAGCTCCCTGGACTTGGGGATGGATGTCAGTCCCCCTGAACCACCTTGGGACCCCCTGCCTATCTTCCCAGGTAAGATATCCTCTGTGACTCGCTCATCCTTCCAAAACCCTCGCTTTCCACTGGTTCCCAAGAACTGCGGGACTCCCTGTATCCTCACACCTCCTCTTCATAAGTCCTGTGCACTCCTCTCTCCTTAGGGCCCTTATATGTGTTCCCCTTTGCCCTGATGGAGGGGATCCTCACCGCCTTGTCTTTGGACACTTTTTGGACTCCTCATACTCTGCTTCCTGTTTATTCCCCAACTTTTCTTCCAGATCTTCAGGTGAAGTCTGAGCCATCCTCCCCCTGCTCCTCTTCCTCCCTCAGCTCCGAATCATCCCATCTTTCCACTGAGCCCTCCAGCCAGGTGAGAGCCATCTGACACCTTCTCCTGTTTGTGGCAGAGACTGTGTTCCATTCCCTTTGCCCCATAGGTGCTGAGAGACTATTTTGCGTGCTACAGGTCATGGAGTAGTGGTGGTGCCTTCAGATTTCTTTAATGTCTTTCTTTTACATGTCTCTGCAGTGGTTGTATAGAAGTGAAGATGGAGTCTTTTTATTTATTTTTTAAAAATTGTATTTATTTATTCATGAGAGACTCAGAGAGAGAGACAAAGACACAGGCAGAGGGAGAAGCAGGCTCCATGCAGGGAGCCCAATGTGGGACTCAATTCCGGGTCTCCAGGATCACGCCCTGAGCCGAAGGGCGGCGCTAAACTGCTGAGCCACCTGGGCTGCCGGGAGTCTTTTTAATATACAGAGTTATGTGCCAGCCGTGGTGGGGCTGGGAAGAAGAGAGTTGTTAACTGCTGAGAAGTCTAGAATTGCTCTTGCCCAAGTTGTTCACTTTAAGACGATATTTGAAATAATGAGACTTCATCGACCATCCCAGAATAAAATAGAGAAAACAAGGGACCAGAGACAGCTCAGGGAGATGCTCAGCACCATTCAAAGCAGAATGTCAAATAATTAGTAAGCTGTGAAGCTTTTGTTCTTGGTCTTGCTCTCAACTCTTGTTTTCTTCTTTGTCTCCTTCCCTCTCACTCTCACCTAGGCCCTTGGTGTAGGGGAGGTGCTAGTTGTGAAGACAGAATCCTTGGCACCCCCACTCTGCCTCCTAGGAGATGATCCAACATCCCCATTTGAAACTGTGCAGATCAATGTGGGTCCCACCTCTGATGACCCCTCAGGTAATAACAGCCTACCACCACCCCCAGGCTTTCCCAAGGCAGAGAGAGAGAGAGAGAGAATGTGTGTGTGTGGGGGGGGGAAGGATGCAGGACACAGAGGAAAAGGTGGGGAGAGGAAATGGTAGATGACCAAAGGCCAAGAAGGGGAGGGAGAGTTTTAGGAAACCACAGCAAAAACTGCACTGAAGAGATGGGAATAGTTTTCCTTTCTTTTTCTCATCCCTAGTATCCTATTGTGTGATTTAACTTCCTGTTGCTTTGCATTTAAAAAAAAAAAAAGTATGGATAGATTAGGGAATTTTATGTTCTTTTTCCCCCTGGTGTTTTATTATAACGTTTTTCAAACTTACAAAAGAGCTGAAATACCATATACCCAATTCCTAGGTTCTACAATGAACATTATTTGTGCTACTTTTAAGTGTTACCAAGTTCATTTCCTCTTACCAATTTACAAGTAAACATTTTTTAAAAAGATTTTTAACTTATTTATTCATGAGAGACACAGAGAGAGGCAGAGGGAGAAGTAGGCTCCCTGCAGGGAGCCCAATGTGGGACTCCATCCAAGGACCTGGGATCACGCCCTGAGCCAAAGGCAGATGCTTAACTGCTGAGCCACCCAGGTGTCCCTACAGTAAACATTTACTGAGCACCTACTCCATGCCACATACTGGACAGGGTGCTGGGGTTGCAAAGACGAAGATATGAGCACCACACTGACCCAAGAATCCTATAGTGTGGTGGGAGGGAAAAGACACATGCCAGTTGCTGAAGGTGTGGGAATTCCAGGATAGACATCACAGGGTGCCATGAAAGCTCATAAGGGGCAGCTCACCTGATGGGGGCTGGATCAGGGATGTGTTTCTGGAGGCACAGTTTCCTGAGCCGAGTTTTGAAAGACATATAGAAATTAGCCAGAAGATGAATAGATGAATATGGGGATTGGTGTGTGTGTGTGTGTGTGTGTGTGTGTGTGTGTGTGTGTGTGTCTAGGGAACTTGGATCTTGTGAGAGTGGACGTGGGGAGGGAGTGGGAAATGGCAAGAAGTTGCAGAGGCTGCAGGGCCAGGTGGGAACCCTGCTAAGGGACTCTTAGCTTTTATCCTGTGGACAGTTGGGAGCCTCTGAAGAATCAAGCAGGAGAGCAGTATGATTAGAAAGGTGACTCTGGTGGCAAGTAGGGGGAATGGAACATGGAAAGGCAGGACTGAATGCATTTAATCAAGTAGGATATGTGGATGCCGAAAAGAAACAGAAAGAGTAAAGTAGAATGGATGAATTGCAGTGACTTCTTGCATAGGATTTGAAGAAGATGCCTGGGTTTCTTGCTAGGGCAGATAGGTATGGTAAGAGCAAGAGCTCCCCAGTCAGGGACGATGATAAATTCAGTGCTGGACATGTTGAGTGTGGATTGCAAAGTGGCTTCAGGGTTTCCTGTCACTGCCTCTCTTTGGTTGAACTCCAACCAGAAGCTGTAAGGCAAGGGAGCCCAGTGATTCAGTCCATTCATGTTTTCCTCCCTGGCCTCAGAGCAATGCTGGGAAGGATACAGAGTGGGCCCGGAGAGACAAACATACCATATCCACGCATTATTAAAAGTTACAAAGAGAATAAACAAGATGAGGATTGAAAACCTTTTCACAGCAAATTGATTGTTGGTGACTTTAAAGAGTCAGATTCTCCGCTAAACAAATTAGGTCTCTTGAGGGCCTGTGCTTCACCCATCAGTTTGATAGACAGGAAGCATCAGACATAATCCTTGCTTTTGGAGAGTCTCATGAGGGTCATAACACATGCTTAATAATCAAATAGTGGTCACCTCTGAGGAGGGATCTGGGTGGCTGGTGGACAAGGAAGGGAAGAAGATCTGCTTCACTGAATTACCCTTGATCCTTTGGGGTTTTATATCATATGCTTGTGCTAACTATTCACAAATGGAAGTTGAAATTTTAATATAGCAGTCTTAGGAATTATATAATTAAGAATCTAAATGAGTGGTATGGACCAAAGGTAGTGTCAGACTGTTGACCTTGGAGCTGAATCTGGCCCTTGGATAAGTTTTATTTTGCCCATGTGGGGTGATCACTGTGCCTCACAGGTGGATTTAACAGAGGCCAGGAAGGCTCAGAGGACTGAGTATTTGCGATTTGGGGCCTGGGAGGCTGACAGTAGAAAGGGAATTTGTGTGAAGGGACAGGCAGTGAGCCCCGAGGTGGGGCATGAGAAAGGAAATGATCAGCAGGCATCTCGGGAGTGGGAATCAGAACATAGGGGAGCAGTCAAAGGTAGAAATGCAGACTTAGCTGTTGTCAGCATAAAGACTCATGATGGCTTTAGGAGCCAGGGAAAAAGATGGG